TACATTGGGTTGTTAGGGACATAGTGTCCAAATTTGGTGTCAATTGCCCCAGTGGTTTCTGAGTTCTATGAATAGCACAAACGAACATTACATTTTTATTTATATCGATAAAGACTCAGGCACAAGCCAATCAAGGTGGTCCCAGTGATGACTGGCACACCTTGGCCTGCACTTAAACACAATCGGCGCTGACAAAATTACCACCTGCCTGCTGCAAAAGGCCACCTTATTGGGATCTGCACGCATTATTTGCCGATACATCACACAGTCCTAAACACTTGGGAAGTGTCAGACGTGTGATCCAATACAATAGCCAGCAGAGTGTATGCTGTGGACTCATCTTGTTCTGTTTCTAATAATAATAATAATAATAATAATAATAATAATAATAATCGCCAAAATGATGATCTGTCAACTGCAAACGGCCACCTTACTTACATCTGCGCACATCATTTGAAAATACAACACACGGTCCTAGACTTGTGCACCGGGATTGTGGTGCAGCTGGCTGAGTGTCAGCTGCATTAAGATCACTCTGACCAAAAGGTCATGAGTTCGAAGCCAGCCCGGGTTGGAGTGGGCTTCCAACCAATTGTGTAGCCTGTTGTCGACCTTTGCAACCCGAAAGACAGTTGCATCTGTCAAGTAGGAAAATTAGGTACCATCTTGTGTGGGGAGGCTAAATAAACTAATTTATGAGGCCATAAAGAAGACTCCAGCAAAGCATTCCAGAGGGAAAGCATGCGGGGAATGCGGAAGTGCTTCATCTGCATCGCAGATGGACGATGAAAGCGACAGCTCCCCTGGTGGCCAGAAAAAAAGTTAAATAGCCTCTGTGTATGTCTGTATGTGTTTGTATGTCAAAAATTGGCATTGAATGTTTGCCATATATGTATACACTGTAATCCGCCCTTCGTCCCCCGCGGGGTGAGAAGGGCGGAATATAAAAGCTGTAAATAAATAAATAATAAATAACAGGTATATAACTTACACTGGATGCTTGTTGTACATAACTGGCAGGAATTCATCTACAGGTAACATTTTGCCAAAAGGCTGAGCGTCAATGAGCTTCTGAGCCCCTTGCAAGGAGATAGCATAGCCCAGTGTCCAGTAAGAATAATCAGGTTCCACAAGGTTCACAACGTTGGGAACAGCCTTTTCAGGGCGTTCCACCTGCATCCTTTTTCGGCCAATGTATCTAGAAAATCAACAATAAAAGACAGACAATGCTACACAAATGACATTCAGCTTACATATGTGTCACAGTGAATATGCAGTCTGTAAATATTTGAAAGCAGGAGCACCTTTATACTATTTATACAAACAAACAAACAAACAAAACACAAAGTTTGCAAGCTTGGTAGTTGATTAAATGTCCTTTGACCAGTATCTGGCCACTTGGAGTGCCTCTGGTGTTACTATAAGAAGGTCCTCCATTGTGCATGTGGCAGGGCTCAGGTTGCATCACAGCAGATGGCCTGTGGTTTGCTCTTCTCCGCATTCACATGTCGCGGATTCCACTTTATAGCCCCATTTCTTAAGGTTGGCTCTGCATCTCGTGGTGCTAGAGCGCAGTCTGTTCAGTGCCTTCCAAGTCGCCCAGTCCTCTGTGTGCCCAGGGGGGAGTCTCTCGTTTGGTATCAGCCATTGATTGAGGTTCTGGGTTTGAGCCTGCCACTTTTGGACTCTTGCTTGCTGGGGTGTTCCAGCGAGTGTCTCTGTAGATCTTAGAAAACTATTTCTTGATTTAAGTCGTTGACGTGCTGCCTGATACCCAAACAGCGGATGAGCTGGAGATGTCACTGCCTTGGTCCTTTCACTATTGGCTGCTACTTCCCGGTGGATGTCAGGTGGTGAAATACCGGCTAAACAGTGTAATTTCACCAGTGGTGTACGGCGCAGACACCCCGTGATAATGCAGCGTGTCTCATTAAGAGCCACATCCACTGTTTTAGTGTGGTGAGATGTGTTCCACACTGGGCATGCGTACTC